AATTGTTATGCAATAACTCCAGCAAAAGTGTCCAGCAGATATGGCAACAAAACATGGTTGGCTTTGGAGGAATAGAGTAATTTTGCTATTTAAATATTCAGCAATCTAAAATGCAGCACCAGGGCTTCCCTGGTGGCGCAGTGGTTGAGAGTCCGCCTGCCGATGCAGGGGACACAGGTTTGTGCTCTGGTCCGGGAAGATCCCACATGCCACGGAGCGGCTGGGCCCGTGAGCCATGGCCGCTGAGCCTGCGCGTCTGGAACCTGTGCTCCGCAACGGGAGAGGCCACAACACTGAGAGGCCTGCGTACCGCAAAAAAAAAAAAAAAATGCAGCACCAGAATGTAAAGGAAAAAAATCATTGTATTAAATTAGAACACTTCAATTATTGCCCTAGTTCTACTGCTTGCCATTTTTGTGTCCTTAGAGAAGCTACTTAACCTCTCTGTGCCTCAATTTTTCCATCTGTAAAACAGGACTAGGAATACTTACTTTATTATATGTAAGGAACTAACAAGATGATATATGTGAAAGGGGTTTGTAAACTATAATGGCCGTATACATTAAAGGTGTCTGTATTTGTATATAAATGAAAGAGAAAATGGATATATAATGTTACTGATGTAATCATTAAGTAAACTCAGGTTAAGTGGATCCTCAGACAACTCTGTTCTATTTTTTACAATATGCCTAAGACCTGGATAAGAGTAAATCTCAAAGTAAGCTAACAATTATTTAGAAAAAGCCCTCTAAAAGAAGTTTTTGAAAAAGTCTCTTCTAAGATAAGACTTCTTTTTAATGCAAGTATCTTTCCAAACTCATTTAGTCACATTTTTTTTTTCCAGCCAGACAAAGAATCTGGCTAAAAGGCCATGAAAGCAGAGATAAGAAAATGGCCAAACTCCAAGATCCATGTGCACACTCAAGTTGTGAAGTTCCAAAACAACAGAAGCTGTATCCTTTTGAAGTAGACTTTATAAACTAATTTCCTTTGATTTCTAAGGAAATTCCTCTTGCCTCTGAAGATTTTATATAAAGTTATATATACTAAATAAAACTTTCTAAGAAATAAATAATATACATTAAGAAAATATGCCATTCTTCCAAGCATGTATTAGGTATTAACCTAGGCATTAATTTATAAAATATCATTGCCATTCTGTGAAACTCTCTATTATGGCCTTCCATGGGAATAAACCTTTGGCAAACCTTTTGAACCAATAACATCACCAGTCAACCTTTCTGCGTTAATTAGCATCTTTCCTATTCTTTGTCCAAAGTTTCAAGTTTCTGGCTCATGCTGCTTGAATCTGTAGAGATACTAGACACCATCCCTTCTCCACAAAAGAAAGCAGTGAGGTCTAACAACAATCCACTCCCAAATGACTCTGCCAAATATTAAAAAAACGAGGATGCAAGTACCTCAAAGTTCTCCCTATTGACTATTAAACATTTCACAGTCAAACATTTCACCAAGGTGATTTTTTTTAGCTCTAAAGCTTAGATTCAGAAACAAGCACAAAGCTGATGCATCTCTGGCTAGTACAACCATAAATAAAGAAAAGACAGGTCATCTCTAACTGAACTTTCTGCTGGACTTCACTGTTTATGTTACTTCTTAGATCAGTAAAACATTTAAATTTCTCCAAGCAAAACATGTAAACATACCCTTTAAATGATTATGGAAAACAATGAACTTCCATCACTGTGACATCTCTTAGTGAACCATAACTAAAATTGTTCTGTTTAATAAGCACAGAGTGGCTAGCATTGTGCTGAGTGTCAGGAGTGGTAATAAAAAAGCACGTGACACTTCCTGCCTTTCAGAGGCTTATGATACAGATGAGAAGACAAGCCTTTTATATCAAACAACTAGGGACCAATACAAGAAAGAACTTTTTTTTAAAGCAGGTGTTGTGTAGCATAATAAACAGTTTATGAAGCTCTAAGGGCCCACCACAATCATTTTCTCAGAAGAGTGGCCCAGGCTGTTCCTTTTGCATAGCTGCTGGCTTACAAAGCAAAAGAATACATTTAATGAAATCAACCCTATTTCCCCGGTCACAAAAGAATGGACCACGGATCATGAGCCAGGGTTATCACAGCAATTCTACCCAACTATATATATAATCAGATCCTCTTTCTGCTTAGGGAGTCTGAATGAGCAATGTGTGAAAAAGACTAAAATGGAATTACTGGAGCTGCTGTTGAATCAGGAGTGACAACAAGCCACTATTCCAATTTTCCATGAGGACAAGTGTACGTTCCAAGCTATGAAGCATAAGAGTTGGTTTATTAAATAATGGTATACTAAACAGTCAATAGCTACATCTACTTTTTTAGATATTAAAATATTTTTTAAACACATGTCCAATTATACAATAAAACCACATGGTTTGCTTATTGGCTCTGTTAAGTCTGGTTTATACTAAGCAAAACCTTGAGGCATGAGAATCCCTATATTTCTTAATTTCTAATGTAATCGCACAGTATCAATTACAATAATTTCTGTCAATGAAATTAAGAGCCTAAATGAAAGAAAAAGTCTACATCTTTCTACACAAGAAATGATGTCACTTGCCTTTTTGATGAAACTGTTAGAATATTTTATATGGAAAAATGAAAAAAAAACTAAGCATGAGATCATTATGTCTTTCATTTTCATTTTAGCAAGAACAAAAAGAACAATCCAGGATTTAAGAATCAAATTCCCGTCCAATGACACTATTCATAGTCATGATGATAAAATTAACTTCCTTATCCCAACTGTTAAAACAAAATAAAGAAAGAAAAAGTGAAAAAGGATGCTGTCTCTCTCTAACTACTGTTATCTAGTTAAGTTCATGCTTATCCTCACTTTACCTTGATATAAAACACTAAGATATGACAAATCAGTAATTAGGAAATGAAAAACTCAAACAGAATGTGAAAGAGAGTCCTAACAGTTTTCTTAAACAGGAGAATGCTGTTTGGATTTGGAGGGATTGGAGGGAGGGTGATAAATAATTTTCTAGTAGCACTTTTCACAGCAAACTAATGAGAAGTAGCTTTTACAAATGCAAGAAACGTAATGCATTTATTTTAAAAAAGAACACCATTCAGGCTTCCCTGGTGGCGCAGTGGTTGGGAGTCCGCCTGCCGATGCAGGGGACGCGGGTTCGTGCCCCGGTCTAGGAGGATCCCACATGCCGCGGAGCGGCTGGGCCCGTGAGCCATGGCCGCTGGGCCTGCACGTCTGGAGCCTGTGCTCCGCAGCGGGAAAGGCCACAGCAGTGAGAGGTCTGCGTACCGCAAAAAAAAAAAAAAAGGACACCATTCATCTTCCTTTGTAAAAATACAGTCCCTTTAAGGCTAGGATAATTTTCTTCATAACAAATACTTGTTCTCTTCCCTAGAAAAATGTTACTAGTCATAAGGTCAATCTGTGGCTTGACAATTGCTACTTTTAATATATGCTGTTCTGTTTTCATCAAATAATAGAGAAATTATCCCAAACCTAAGAAAATGTATTCAGCTATTTCAGTGTTAAAAATATTCTTTTGTGGTAACTTCCATAACATATACTTCAACACATTCATTTTAACATGTATCAAGTCTCTTCTTCGTAGTGCTGGATCCCATCTTAAAAAGTTTACTCCCGGGCTTCTCTGGTGGCACAGTGGTTGAGAGTCTGCCTGCCGATGCAGGGGACGTGGGTTCGTGCCCCGGTCTGGGAGGATCCCACATGCCACGGAGCGGCTGGGCCTGTGAGCCATGGCTGCTGAGCCTGCGTGTCCGGAGCCTGTGCTCCACAACAGAAGAGGCCACAACAGTGAGAGGCCCACGTACCGCAAAAAAAAAAAAAAAAAAAGTTTACTCCCACCCCCCAACCCCTGCCAACTTTAAACATGATTGTGTCAATCCAAAGCTAATACTAAGCTCTGGTCAGCCAATACAGTTGGAGCCTTGCTGAAACCCTGTTCTCAGCTGCCCCCTTGCTGCTGAAAATGAACTTGGAGGCTGGCACAGTACAGAAATATACCAGCTATGTCTGAGAGAATAGGCTGAACACAAGAAATTTTTGAGAAAAGGCAGAAATCATGAGATACCATCACTATAGTATTCCAAATCTCCTAACATATTTGATTAATAACTAAAAACACATGAAATGTTTGGTTTCCCTAATCTTCAAGTGTCAAAGTTCTCTGGTCCAAAATTCTGAGCTGCTAGATATTTATACCTTAGGAAAAGCATTGAGTTAACTGAGAATTTCAGTAACAGTGAGTGGTGACGATAGTCAGAGAATGAATCGTTTATTGTTAGCATATGCTTATTTCTATCATACACTCTCTACATCCTTTTAAAAAAAGAAAAAGAAAAGCCTAGGATACAAACTACCAAGGAATTCGAATTCATTCATGTGTAACTGGTTTAACATACAGCACTGTAACAGAGATATTCATATGGCAACTCTATGAAGAATGTATTTTCATTTTAGAGGAAAAGCAGATGGAATGAAAGTAAGCTATGCATTTTTTCCCCATTTAGTCTCACATTTGTAACATTCAAAAGTGCTCGTATAAACATTTACTTTTGTATAAGCTAACTGATTATCTTACACATTCTTCACTAGCAAGAGTAAATGCTTGATGAAGGACAGAGAAAAGAGGGATAGAAAGTCTCAGGAATAGAGCCTAAAAAGACATTTTTATGTTTATACTTCTCCACTGGTTATAAACAAACAAATAATATGTTGGTTATAAACAAACAAAGAATAAAAATCAATAAGCAGCTTATATTTTCTAAATATTGCCTGGCACCAACTCCATGTTTCCACTTCATAATGCTGAACAGCTCAAAATCAAGCTTGTATTATAGCACTTAGGCTGTTCCACTCATACAGTTTATTTTATATTGCTTCCTATCTCTCATATCTTTTTATCTTCCACAGCATTCAGCTCAGTGCCTCATATATAGCAGGTATTCAAAACTATTTCTTTTATTCTTTCAAAGTGAACTTACCCTTCGAAACGACACAACATAAAACGTGTCTCCCCTTCTGTGGATGGCTTCAAAAAAGTCTTGATAACTTCTGGGTGAAGCATAATACACCTGTAGCTCACTCCCTGAGTTCCTGCCGAAGTAAGAAAATGGCAAAGTGGCAAAGTGTTCTTTAACTAATAAATTTCTATCCTCTCAAAAATGCTTCCCATTCTGAATTATAAGAATCTCTCTCAACCAAAATATTAGTAGTATTTTGGCAGCAATTTTTATAGTAACATTTTGAAAAGCTCAAGGTCAGGATATTTGTAAGATCCAATTCACTAAAGACAAAACTCTCATTTCTGTATCAAGGCTCTAAAATGTACCAGTCAAGTGCATTGCAAAGCATGTAAAAAAAATAGAAGTACCAGAAAATAGATTTCTGCATTGGTTTGCATGATTTTAAAATTTTGGTAACATAAATTAAGTCTGAGGAAAAGTTATCTTTCACCGTTCTGTCAAATGTGTGAAGGTGCACTTGTCTATGAGGCTGTGTGAAAGGTGAAAAGCACTTAGGATTTGGAAACAAATACACCTGGCTCTGAATTCCTGCTCCACCTCTCAACTGGATATTCTTGGGGAAATCAATCTCTGAGGAACCTCAGTTTCCTCATCAATAAAATGAGGGTAACCACATAAACCTTTCAGGACTGTTACTGGGGTCAGAGATGTTAGTACCAAGCATGGGTCCTCTTCCATGGGAGTCACTCAACAACTGCTAGCCATAGATATTAAAAGTACCAAGTCAGTGCCTTGGTAAAATTATAACTAAAATTATAATACCTCAGAGCACATCTTATCCCAAAAGATATACTCAAATGATATTAATATAGTTCTTAATAATATTTTCAGGGTCTTTTATTGTTTAGCACAATAAGCCAACACCCAAAAGTTAGAGTTAAAAAAAAACACTTCATTTTTCTTCAAAAAGAAAAATCATATTCTTTTATGTCTTCAATCAAACTTTTATTAACTTAAGAGGGCAAGATTGACCTAAAAGGAAATTATAACTGAGTCATAAGAACTTCCTTTGAAATAATTTCACATGCTCAAGAGGCCATCTCTGACTGTAATACTTTGAATATACAGTCAATTCTTATTATTTATGGTAGTTATAGTCCTATAAAGTCAGTGCAAACACTGAATTAGCAAACACTGAACCATTCTCCTAAGGGAAATACAGGTTAGGTTCCTGTGAAGGCTTAGTTACAGCATTTTTTTTCCCTGAATTTTTAAAATTTATTTTTTTATACAACAGGTTCTTATTAGTCATCAATTTTATACACATCAGTGTATAAATGTCAATCCCAATCGCCCAATTCATCCCACCACCACCACCACCGCTCTGCCGCTTTCCCCCCTTGGTGTCCATACGTTTGTTCTCTACATCTGTGTCTCAATTTCTGCCCTGCAAACTGGTTCATCTGTACCATTTTTCTGGCTCCACATATATGCGATAATATACGATATTTGTTTTACTCTTTCTGACTTACTTCACTCTGTATGACAGTCTCTAGAGCCATCCACGTCGCAACAAATGGCCCAGTTTCGCTCCTTTTTATGGCTGAGTAATATTCCATTGTATATACGTACCACAACTTCTCTATCCATTTGTCTGTCGATGGGCATTTAGGTTGCTTCCATGACCTGGCTATTGTAAATAGTGCTGCAATGAACATTGGGGTGCATGTGTCTTTTTGCATTATGGATTTCTCTGGGTATATGCCCAGTACTGGGATTGCTGGGTCATATGGTAATTCTATTTTTAGTTTCTGAAGGAACCTTCATACTGTTCTCCATCGTGGCTGTTATCAATTTACATTCCCACCAACAGTACAAGAGGGCTCCTTTTTCTCCACACCCTCTCCAGCATTTGTTGTTTATAGATTTTCTGGTGATGCCCATTCTAATTGGTGTGAGGTGATACCTCATTGTAGTTCTAATTTGCATTCCTCTAATAATTACCTGATGTCGAGCAGCTTTTCATGTGCTTCTTGGCCATCTGTATGTCTTCTTTGGAGAAATGTCTATTTAGGTCTTCTGCCCATTTTTGATTTCGGTTATTTGTTTTTTTAATATTGAGCTGCATGAGCTGTTTATATATTTTGGAGATTAATCCTGGGTCTGTTGATTTGTTTGAAAATATTTTCTCCCATTCTGAGGGTTGTCTTTTTGTCTTGTTTGTAGTTTCCTTTGCTATGCAAAAGCTTTCACGTTTTCTTAGGTCCCATTTATTTTTGTTTTTATTTCCATTACACTAGGACATGGATCAAAAAAGATCTTGCTGTGATTTCTGTCAAAGAGTGTTCTTCCTATGCTTTCCTCTAACAGTTTTATAGTATCCAGTCTTACACTTAGGTCTCTAATCCATTTTGAGTTTATTTTTGTGTATGGTGTTAGGGAGTGTTCTAATTTCATTCTTTTACATGTAGCTTTCCAGTTTTCCCAGCACCACTTATTGAAGAGGCTGTCTTTTCTCCATTGTATATCTTTGCCTCCTTTGTCATAGATTAGTTGACCATAGGTGCGTGGGTTTATCTCTGGTCTTTCTATGCTGTTCCATTGAGCTATGTTTCTGTTTTTGTGCCAATACCATATTGTGTTGATTACTGTAGCTTTGTAGTATAGTCTGAAGTCAGGGAGTCTGATTCCTCCATCTCCGTTTTTTTCCCTCAAGACTGCTTTTGCTCTTCAGGGTCTTTCAGGTCTCCATACAAATTTTAAGATTTTTTGTTCTAGTTCTGTAAAAAATGCCATTGGTAATTTGATAGGGATTGCATTGAATCTGTAGATTGCTTTGGGTAGTATAGTCATTTTCACAATGTTGATTCTTCCAATCCAAGAACATGGTATATCTCTCCATCTTTTTGTATCACCTTTAATTTCTTTTATCAGTGTCTTATAGTTTTCTGCATACAGGTATTTTGTCTCCCTAGGTAGGTTTATTCCTAGGTATTTTATTCTTTCTGCTGCAATGGTAAATGGGAGTGTTTCCTTAATTTCTCTTTCAGATTTTTCATCATTAGTGTATAGGAATGCAAGAGGTTTCTGTGCATTAATTTTGAATCCTGCAACTTTACCAAATTCATTGATTAGCTCTAGTAGTTTTCTGGGGGCATCTTTAGGATTCTCTATGTATAGTATCATGTCATCTGCAAACAGTGACAGTTTTACTTCTTCTTTTCCAATTTGTATTTCTTTTTCTTCTCTGATTGCTGTGGCTAAAACTTCCAAAACTATGTTGAATAATAATGGTGAGAGTGGACATCCTTGTCTTGTTCCTGATCTTAGAGAAAATGCTTTCAGTTTTTCACCATTGAGAATGATGTTTGCTGTGGGTTTGTCATATATGGCCTTTGTTATGTTGAGGCAGGTTCCCTCTATGCCCACTTTCTGGAGTTTTTATGATAAATGGGTGTCAAATTTTGTCAAAAGTTTTTTCTGCATGTATTCAGATGATCATATGGTTTTTATTCTTCAATTTGTTAATATGGTGTATCACATTGATTGATTTGCATATATTGAAGAATCCCTGCATCCCTGGGATAAATCCCACTTGATCTTGGTATATGATCCTTTTAATGTGTTGTTGGATTCTGTTTGCTAGAATTTTGTTGAGGATTTTTACATCTATATTCATCAGTGATATTGGTCTGTAATTTTCTTTTTGTAGTATCTTTGTCTGGTTTGGGTATCAGGGTGATGGTGGCCTCACAGAATGTGTTTGGAAGTGTTCCTTCCTCTGGAATTTTTTGGAAGAGTTTGAGAAGGATGGGTGTTAGCTCTTCTCTAAATGTTTGATAGAATTCTCCTGTGAAGCCATCTAGTCCTGGACTTTTGTTTGTTGGAAGACTTTTAATCACAGTTTCAATTTCATTACTTGTGATTGGTCTGTTCATATTTTCTATTTCTTCCTGGTTCAGTCTTGGAAGGTTATACCTTTCGAAGAATTTGTCCATTTCTTCCAGGTTGTCCATTTTATTGGCATAGAGTTGCTTGTAGTAGTCTCTTAGGATGCTTTGTATTTCTGCAGTGTCTGTGGTAACTTTTCCTTTTTCATTTCTAATTTTATTGATTTGAGTCCTCTCCCTCTTTTTCTTGATGAGTCTGGCTAATGGTTTATCAATTTTGTTTATCTTCTCAAAGAACCAGCTTTTAGTTTTATTGATCTTAGCTTTCGTTTCTTTGTTTCTATTTCATTTATTCCTGCTCTGATCTTTATGATTTCTTTCCTTCTGCTAACTTTGGGCTTTGTTCGTTTTTCTTTCTCTAGTTCCTTTAGGTGTAAGGTTAGATTGTTTATTTGAGATTTTTCTTGTTTCTTGAGGTAGGCTTGTATATATGAACTTCCTTCTTAGAAGTGCTTTTGCTGCATCCTATAGGTTTTGGATCGTCGTGTTTTCATTATCATTTGTGTCTAGGTATTTTTTGATTTCCTCTTTGATTTCTTCAGTGATCTCTTGGTTATTTAGTAATGTATTGTTTAGCCTCCATGTGTTTGTATTTTTTACATTTTTTCCCCCGTAATTCATTTCTAATCTCATGGCGTTGTGGTCAGAAAAGATGCTTGATACGATTTCAGTTTTCTTAAATTTACTGAGGCTTGATTTGTGACCCAAGATGTGATCTCTCCTGGAGAATGTTCCGTGTGCACTTGAGAAGAAAGTGTAATCTGCTGTTTTTGGATGGAATGTCCTATAAATGCCAATTAAATCTATCTGGTCTATTGTGTCATTTAAAGCTTCTGTTTCCTTATTAATTTTTTGTTTAGACGATCTGTCCATTGGTGTAAGTGAGGTGTTAAGGTCTCCCACTATTAGTATGTTACTGTAGATTTCCTCTTTTATAGCTGTTAGCAGTTGCCTTGTGTATTGAGGTCCTCCTATGTTGGGTGCATGTGTATTTACAATTGTTATACCTTCTTCTTGGATTGATCCCTTGATCATTATATAGTGTTGTTCCTTGTCTCTTTTAACATTCTTTATTTTAAAGTCTATTTTATCTGATATGAGAATTGCTACTCCAGCTTTCTTTTGATTTCCATTTGCATGGAATATCTTTTTCCATCCCCTCACTTTTAATCTGAATGTATCCCTAGGTCTGAACTGGGTCTCTTGTAGACAGCATATATATGGGTCTTGTTTTTGTATCCATTCAGCAAGCCTGTGTCTTTTGGTTGGAGCATTTAATCCATTCACGTTTAAGGTAATTATCAATATGTATGTTCCTATGACCATTTTTTTAATTGTTTGGGGTTTGCTTTTGTAGTTCCTTTTCTTCTCTTGTGTTTCCCACTTAGAGAAGTTCCTTTAGCATTTGTTGTAGAGCTGGTTTGGTGGTGCTGAATTCTCTTAGCTTTTGCTTGTCTGTAAAGCTTTTGATTTCTCCATCAATTCTGAATGAGATCCTTGCCGGGAAGAGTAATCTTGGTTGTAGGTTCTTCTCTTTCATCACTGTAAGTATATCATGCCACTCCCTTCTTGCTTGTAGAGTTTCTGCTGAGAAATCAGCTGTTAACCTTATGGGAGTTCCCTTGTACATTATTTGTCATTTTTCCCTTGCTGCTTTCAATAATTTTTCTTTGTCTTTAATTTTTGCCAATTTGATTACTATGTGTCTCAGCTTGTTTCTTCTTGGGTTTATCCTGTATGGGACTCGCTACGCTTCCTGGACTTGAGTGGCTATTTCCTTTCCCATGTTAGGGAAGTTTTCGACTATAATCTCTTCAAATATTTTCTCGGGTCCTTTCTCTCTCTCTTCTCCTTCTGGGACCCCTATAATGCGAATGTCGTTGCATTTAATGTTATCCCAGAGGTCTCTTAGGCTGTCTTCATTCCTTTTCATCCTTTTTTCTTTATTCTCTTCCATGGCAGTGAATTCCACCATTCTGTCTTTCAGGTCACTTATCCATTCTTCTGCCTCAGTTATCCTGCTATTGATTCCTTCTAGTGTAGTTTTTATTTCAGTTATTGTATTGTTCACCTCTGTTTGTTTGGGTCTTCTGGGTCTTTGTTGAACATTTCTTGCACCTTCTTGATCTTTGCCTCCATTCTTTTTCTGGGGTCCTGGATCATCTTCACTATCATTATTCTGAATTTTTTTTCTGGAAGGTTGCCTATCTCCACTTCATTTAGTTGTTTTTCTGGGGCTTTATCTTGTTCCTTCATCTGGTACATAGCCCTCTGCCTTTTCATCTTGTCTATCTTTCTATGAATATCATTTTTGTTCCACAGGCTGCAGGATTGTAGTTCTTCTTGCTTCTGCTGTCTGCCCTCTGGTGGATGAGGCTCTCTCAGTTACAGCATTTTTATCAACTGATCAATATATAACCCTGTTTTATGTGTTTCTATTTAAAGACACCTTCTTTAACAAATGCTGTTCACTCATTAACACTGAACTCACAGTCAACAGCACCATATCTCATGCATGAATGAAGCTTTCTAACGTGTATTTTCTCCACATGGCACAATACAGCTTTCTCAAGCTTATGAACACTAGGCAGCACTTCAGTACTATGCTTGGGGGCCATTTTAAAGGAAGAATTCACAAGCAAAAATCATAAAATGTGAAAAATATGGCACTAAATAGACCTCAAAAAGGACAACTGTTTACAGTATGAGAGCTGAAACAGGAAGGCGAAGTATTGCTTTGTTAAACTTTGGGGAATGCAAATGACCATGACAGCACTTTCAGTATTGATTTTGGGGGTAGAAATAAATTTTTGCAAGTAAGCAGATTCATAAATATGGAATATATGAATAAGGAAGGTCAACTATAATTCACTTTAAAACATTTTTTAAAGATTATTTTTTAAATAACAGTTTCAGGTTCACAGCAAACTTGAGAGGAAGGTACAGAGATTAAAAACATTTTTAACTAATGAAGAAATAATATGAATATTTTTTAAATATACATAGTAAATGAATGAAATATTCTGGTTACAGAGAACTGTTAGTTTCTACATATATCTGAATTATCTATTTCTACAAGATAATGATGAGAACAAGTTTAAGATGGAAGAGAAGTGTGTATTTCAACCTTACTGAAATCCTAGGTATTTAAAATTCCTGGGACCCCCCTGGTGGTCCAGTGGTTAAGACTCCAAGATCCCAATGCAGGGGGCCCGGGTTCGATCCCTGGTCAGGGAACTACATCCCACATGCTACAACGAAGATCCCATATGCCACAACTAAGACCCAGAGCAGGTGAGTGAGTGAGTGAGTGAGTGAGTGAATGAATGAATGAATGAATAAATAAATAAATAGATAGATAAATAAATAAGAAAATTCCTTAGCCAAGAGCTTCCACACTTTCTTACCTGATACTAGTGGTCTCTGTGTATTGGACAGCCATGAGCTGAGAATTTGAGCCCTGTTCCAGGGCACCCTGAAAGATAAAAAATGGTTAGATGTCATATAATGTAATTATATGAAAAGCTTCCTATATTGACTCATTCTACGTTTACTAACTTCATTAAAGTATTCATAAAGTTTGTTTGGGTTTTTTTTTTTTGGCTGCTTTGGGTCTTCGTTGCTGTGTACAGGCTTTCTCTAGTTGCAGAGAGCAGGGGCTACTCTTCGTTGCGGTGCATGGGCTTCTCATTGCGGTGGCTTCTCTTGTTGCGGAGCACAGGCTCTAGGCACACTGGCTTCAGTAGTTGTGGTGCACAAGTTCACTAGCTGTGGCGCACAGGCTTAGTTGCTCCATGGCATGTGGGATCTTCCCAGACCAGGGATCGAACCCATGTCCCCTGCACTGGCAGGCAGATTCTTAACCACTGCACCATCAGGGAAGTCCCCGTAAAGTTGTTTTCATGAATATACTGACATATTAAGTTCACATAGCTAAACACCAATACAGAAATTAGAACTCGTTTGGTCACATTCTGGGCTGAGAGATGTGTCTTACGGACAGTAAGACATTTAAGGCACTCCCCACAAAGATTAAAGAAATAGCTCAGGACTTCCCTGGTGGCGCAGTGGTTGAGAGTCTGCCTGCTGATGCAGGGGACACGGGTCTGTGCCCTGGTCCGGGAAGATCCCACGTGCCGCGGAGCGGCTGCGCCCGTGAGCCATGGCCGCTGAGCCTGTGCGTCCAGAGCCTGTGCTCCACAACGGGAGAGGCCACAACAGTGACAGGCCAGCGTACCGCAAAAAAAAAAAAAAAAAAAAAAAAAAAAAAAACTCAAAAACTTAGTCCAAGTTTTATCACCAAGTCATACAAGTATTACTGAACATATAACAACTTACGTTTGTCTAAAATAATTATTTTCTGAATGAAAATTTCCTGAATTATGAAAGGTCCATAATGAAACTAGATCTTATTGTTTACTGAGTTAAACACAAAGATCTTCATGCCTAAATACACCTGTGGACTAATCCATCATAAAGATATCTCATCAATGATTCTTGGCCAGAGAACAGTCCAATCTGGAACCATTAGTGGTCCACGTAGACTACACTGGAAACCTGTCTTCCATATAGCACCTGCTTTGCACTATGCCTTCTTATATACCCCAGCAGTTTTGTAAGCTGATCTTCAAAAAAGTTTTATAAGAGTATCAGAGTTCAAGAGCACATTACCAATTATTATATTAGGAAGTGACCTTATTATTACCCTGTCAAACAGTGACTTGAATAACTGTTTAATCTTAAGATTACTAGCATTTGTTCATTACAATATCCATCCATCCTTCCTTCAGCAATCAAACTTTCATAGAGTGCCTACTACATGTACTGGTGCTACAGAATTTAACATTTGACTTTTGCCCTCTAGAAGCTTGCAGTTTAACTGGGAAGACAGATATGTAGAAATGATATAATGTGATGCTAAAATAGAAGAATATACAAAGGGTTATGGGAAGAGAAGAGGGAACAATTTTGTTTGGTGGTAGATGGAACCAATATGCAGGGATGAATAGAGGGCTTCCAATTTCTGGCTCTGTAACAAGTCAAGGGTCTAATTTTATGAAAATCTAATGTCAGTCTTACATATAGTAAGTTTAAAAATGTGTTAAACAAAAATAAAAAGCACAGATAAAATGAAAAGAAAAACAAATACTTTTAAATAATGAAGTACTGTATTTACTGATATGCTTATCAAGTAAGTAGTAAATCAAGCCAAAATTAAACTACAGCTAGTGGATAAATATAAAATTTAAAATAAACAGATTAAATAACTGATGAATTTTAAATGATTTTGCTACTTTGGCACACATGAAATTAGCAGAGAAGTCTGAAAGAAGCCAGACTTCTTTCTCTAGGCTCAGAAATGAGTGGGTAGGCTTTAAGGAAAGCTGAGTTACAGAGACATCAGGCAAACGGCAATTGAATATGCCATTTACCTATCCAAGATTTACACCAATAAACAAAGGGACTTCTGAAAACTTGGCTATGAACTTCAGCATTTTTAGCTATGTGGATTTAGCAAAAGGTCACAATCAGCAAAAAAAAGTGAGACAGACATTTACATAGAAATGAGAAAGATATTAAAATCTCCAATTATGTTGCAGATTTATCTGTTTTTCCCTTTAGTTCTGTCACTTTTTTGCATTATGTTTTTGAAACTTTGTTACTTGGAGCCTATACATTTAGAATTTTTATGACTTCTTAATTTAATATGTCAAAAGATAAGGCAAAAAACTCATTTAGGCCAATAATTTTCATCTAATTTTTCATAAAGCCCATTTTACCAGCTGTGTGGAATTCTCTACTGGCAATTATCTCTTCCTGCCCCCTTTTTGCTCTTCCCCTGTATAACAAGGGATGAAAGCCTGAAAACTATATTACCCAAACTTTTTTGCTACCAGGGTCTAGACATAATTTAGCTTCTACGAATAATATATACTTGCACCAGATTTGGAAAGCAGAAGGGAAACAGAGTCCATTTTTCCTCCAGCCATGGAGGCAGCTAACGTGTAGGCTTTGGCAGACTGGACACTGTATTCCAACGTCAGTAAACAGCTTTGGGACTCTGAGGTAACTGTGACATTAGTAATGAAGTACTAACAACCAATAAAGATGCCATTATAGGTGAACAAAAAGTGCCTGAGAGGCCCAGAGAAACACATACTGGATAATCATGGAATCTCAAATGTCAGAGCTTAAGCTCATTTAGACTAACCCTCATTATTTTATAGTTGAAAACAGTCCCTTAATGATTAAAAGTCCATGTTTCTCAATATACTTTTAATGTACTTAGGAACCTATCATGTGCTGCTTCCAATTAGTCTCCAAATAATCAAATAGCTTAGGAGTTCCCATTAGTAGATAAACAGGTAAACCTGGTGAAACATATCCCATCCCAAAATAAAACCTCTTCCTTGATTCTTACAGCTACTCCATTTCTCTGTTTCCATTAATGGGGATCATCCTGAAATAATTTTCTCTATTTCCTCATTTTATTTTTACTTCCTGAACCCACATCGCTCAGACTTTTGTCATCACCACTCCAATGAGACAACCTTCATCAAAGTCACTAACAAGTTCTAATAATCAAATCCAATGGTAATTTCCCAGTCCTCATCTTAATCAACATCTCTTAAGCTCTGTAACAGTAAATCACATCCTCTTCCTTAAAAACTTTCTTTGCTTGGGTTTTTGGATACAACTATCCTACATTTTTTCCTATTCTACTGGCCAGCCACTCCTCTTCCTTCTCAAGTGCTGATTTTTCCTCATCTTTTAGCCTCTAATGTTGACGTTGTTCCAGGGTTCAGTTCCTTACCTCCTTTCTCTTCTTTTTACCTTCTCTCTAGGTGATATCATCCCAAATTAAACTTCCAGTCTCAACCTCTCCCCTATACTCCAGACCTGGATATCTGAGTAGCCACCTGACTCCTCCACTTGAATGTCTAATAGCCATCTCAAACTTAATATATCTAAAACTCTTTTTTCTTGCCTCCAACTCCTCCTTCCCTACTCTCAGTCTCAGTAAATGGCATCATCATTCATCCAGTAGCTATAGCATAGGAATTATCACTGTTTCCTTTTTAATTTACAATAGCAATTTCATCATCTATACTTTCAAAATATATTTGGCATTCAAGTACTTTCCTCCACCTTCAAATCTACCACTCTAGTATGGCCCGCAATGATCTCTCACCTAGACTACTGAAATGGCTTAACTGGTCTCCCTACATCCACTCATGTTCCCTGCTGTGTTCTACTTGGGGTAGCAGTTAGAGCAATCTTTTAAAAATATAAATCAGATCAAGCCACAGCCTTGCTCAAACCTCTCAGTGCTTTCCTCTCGCACCTAGGATGAAAACCTAAGTTCTCACCATTGCATATGAGATTTGATATGATTTAGCCTCCTCTGTCTTTCTGACATCATCTTTGGCTACTCTCCCCTTAGTCATTGTAATCCAGCCTTACTCAACTTCTTGATGTTCCTCAAATATGCAAACTGTTTCCTCCTGAGGGTCTCTATACTTTCTATTCCCTTGGTCTAAAAGCTGTTTCTCCAGATTTTCTCCTAGACCTTTACATTTTGTCCTTCATTTTCTGCCTATGGCAAAAGCTATGTTCTCACCCCTTCTTCATCCCAAGCACATAGGAAGACTACATTTGCCTAACCTTCTGCAAGGGAGGCTGGGAAAAGTGACAGAGTTTTAGTCAACTGAACATTGACTAAAGTCCAGGCCTGATCCCTAAAACATGCTGCATAATCTTCCAAACTTTCTTCCCCAACACCCAAAGCTAAAAGCAAAGGATTTCAAGTTGTTGGGCTACAATGTGGAAGAACCTGGATTCCTTAGTCACTGCTTGGAGGAAACCCATTCTAGAGAGCTACCTCAAACTCTGGGTGAGAAACAAATTTTTATTCCATTAAACTACTGAGATTTTGAGGCTAAATGTTATAACAGCTGGTAATAACTACCTTGACAATACCTTACTCAAGTGGTATCTCTTTAGAGAAGGATTCTCTAACCACCCAATCTAAAATAGCCACTCACCTCTCCATTCGAACTCTAACTTCCAATCCTGCTTTTTCTTTAGAGAACTTCTAATTTTTAGTATATTTATTTATTTGTTTATTTATTTTTTAATTTAATTTTTTCCCTCATGATGGGGACTTTAAAGATCTACTCTCTTAGCAACTTTCAAATATACACTACAGTATTATTAACTATGGTTATCATGCAGTAAACTACATCCTCATGACTTCTTTATTTCATAACTGGAAGTCTGTACCCTCCACCCACCACCTCTGGCAACCACTATCTGTTCTCTGTATCCATGAGTTTGTTGGGTTTTTTTTTAAGATTCCACATGTAAATGAGATCATATGGTATTTGTCTTTTTTTGTATGACTTATTTCACTTTACATGTTTATTGTTTATCTTTCCCATTAGAATGTAAGTTCCATGAAGGCAGGGATTTTATCATACCCTCTACTGTATTCTCAGGGTCGAGAACAGTACCTGGCTCATTATTACTACCACAGGTAACATTTGCTGGGAGCTTGCAATATGTCAGTCTAAGTGCTTCAGAAGTAGTAATAAATAGCTGAATGACAGAAAGACCATAAATGGTGCTTTGTGGTAAACAATATTAAGATAGAAGCCCAATTTAATAGGTTCTAAATAAGAGCTGTCATTAACCTGTAGCGCTACAAGTCTAAGTACAAAAATGCCCTCCACGGAGATGTGCCTTCACTTCTAAGCTGTCCTACATTTGAAAAGCTCTAAGAACAGAGGAGATAAACAGTATCATTTATTATATTATTTGTGCCAAAAACATGTCATACAGATGTCCATGCATAAAACCCCTGGCTTGAAAGCAAATTTGAGGGAGAGAGCAGGAAACAGCACTATGTCTGAGCAGGAAATACTAGTGCTATAAAACCTAAATGAGTGCTATGAAACCTGGGAGGAGGGCTTCAATGGCAGTGACACCTGCTTCAGTAGCAGCAGGAGGTAGTGGGAAGTGGCTAAAGTTCAAGTTTCCCAAATGTTCCAAAGAAGAGAGCAACACATCTGCAGGAAGCCTTCTAACAAATATGCCAACTATCGTTCAAAGACAAGCAGAAACAAACCTGAAGAATACGGGTTTTCTGTTGATTATTTGTCGTTCTTCTCGACTTGGTCCTTTCCACTTCGTGTCTATGAACCCACCCTCGAAGTTCATGATTTAACCTATAAAATAGCTTAATTAGTTAAACATATTTCATAGAAACAGATGTCTCACCTTTGGTTGGAAATGAATTTAATCATATTCTGAGGTTCTAAAGAGCATTCCAAGTGCCTAATGGTTCAATATTCTTTTTTGATTTGAGAAAGCTAAGACACTTAATGTTAAGTTATTTTTAATGACATGCATTTTTATATGGTAGCCTTCTCAATCATGAGTTCAAAATTCAAATAAAATTAGAGCTAAATACCTGGCAAACATCAATATTGGATGCAAAGGTTTTTCCACAAAATAGTATTTCCTGTTTCTGCTCTTGGACTATGTACACACAAATACTGGAGACACTGGAGAGCACAAAACAAGTCACAGGACTCCTAACAACAAATGGATTCATTAAAGCCTTTGAAAATCATGCTTTTTTTGGGAGTAGAAAAAGAATGAATCAACTGCTCAGGAGGAGAAATTTCAAGGTACTATAATCCAAATTGTCCAACACTGGAAATTAAAAAAAAAAAAAAAAGCCAGTTCAAATATAACTTCCCTTTATTTTGCTTACTCTTTAGAGCAGTTGTGAAGATGTCAGGCTATACTTACTTAAATATAGTTGATTACTACATATCACAAAAAAACTGAAGCAGTTTTTGAGGTTCAAAGATAGGATCCAAAATCACAGGAAAAAATTCAAGGGAAAAGTAGATAAAGAAAAGTACACTAATGTGAAAGTGACTCCAGAATCACATATCTTCAAATTATTATCTTCCTAATTTGAAGAAAAAGGTACTTTCCACCATGAATGTTACCACTGCAAGTCTAACACTTACCCTGAATTTTTATATTAATATCATTCTTCAGTTTTCAAATAAGACATATTTAAGTATACAACCCCAATACCATCACATGAAATAGACCCATCACCATCTCTATCAGGTTGGTGGGGAAACTGGACAACAATTGATATGCCTACGGTTATTCAATAAATAATTCATAGTTTTCTCAACCACTTGGTGAATTTGAACAAATACTTTTCTAGGTTCCAAAGCTAAACACAGGAACCCACTCAGATACATCTGCAACAACTGAAAACACTCACCTGAGAGATTCTGTTGTGTTAATCAGGGGCTGACAGGGAGGTGGAGGAATATAGAGTAGTGGTTTTTCAGTTAGCACCATCAGGGCTTTGTCATTTGAAACAGAATGATCATATCTGAAAAACAGATTTACAAAATGTGTTACTTTCTGTCTTAAATTCCTAAGACGAAGATTGCTATAAGAAAGTCATTGCTAGTATTAAGTTTTCATGGAAATAAAAATATTGTATAAACAACGAAGTCCTACTGTATAGCACAGAAAACTATAGTCAATATCCTATGATAAACCATAATGGAAAAGAATATGAAAAACAATGCGTGTGTGTGTGTGTGTGTGTGTATACATATAAAATGGAATCACTCTGCTGTACGGCAGAAATTAACACAACATTGTAAATCAACTATACTTCAACAAAAAAAGTTTTTAATATTGTAAATAGAACACACTGCAAGAAAGAAGTGAATGTAATTTTAAAAGGAGGGAAGTATAGACCACACAGCACAAATTTCACTTTCCAATTTTCTACAGAGATTATCATGGTAGTTCACATTTATTGCTCAATTATTATGTACCCGAAACTAGCGATACAATGATAACACATGGCTCATATCTTCAATGAGCTCAAGGCATACACAGTGCTGCTGGAACAGAGGTGGTGACAAAGTAAGAGGTGAAACTGGGGGAAAGACCCACTGATTGATAGGAAAGACTTACGATTGACAGGAAAGTATTATGTAACCAGGACTGAAGTTTTGTGGTCATTCTCATCTCTGTGATAACAGAACTGAATAGTCTCCTTAAAACAGTGTGTGTGGTAGGGGAAAGGGAAAGCATAAAATACTTGGTAGGAGAAAAGTAAAAGCCTTGAAAAGCTAAATATAAATTTTAGAATCCCTAATAAAACAACAGAGTGACATTAACCAGTTATTCTATTAGCTTCAAAAAATATACTTTCCTAATCATCACAGTGATCTATATCATGCAAATTCATATCCAGGGTGTGATGTAGGGAGCAAAATCCGAGTTGAAAATTAGAATCTGAGCTGAGGGCATTATTGTTATTTATTCCCTTCAGTCGGCTATTTTAACCTTTCTCACTAAGAAATCTTAGCTCTATCTTGAATTTCTTTATATACAATACTCTGGATTTAGAAAACTGGATATATTAACATCTAAAAAGAAAAACTATAAACACAAAATTGGACATAGCTAGATTTGTACTTTTCATTAATTCAATCAACAAATATTTACTGAATACCAACTGTGTGCCAGGTACTGTGCTAGGTGCTGGAATTCCAATAGGGAAAAAGGGAAATGAAGTCTCCATCCTCAAAGACCTTAGTGGGGAAGATGGACCAAATACAAGAAAACAAACACATAAAATAAATCCAAACTGTGGTAAGAGCTATGAAAGGAATAAGCATATGGTTGAAATAGAAAACCAACAACAATGCCTACTTCAGATAAAATGGTCTGAAAAGGAGATCGTATTTAAGACAAGGCATAAAGGATGAGAGGAAGCCAGCCCTATAGAAACTGGGGTAAGAGCGTTCTAGGCAGGTGGGACAAGGGAGGATTTAAGGAACTTAAGGAAAACTACTCACCAGCTGAAGAGTTGTAAGCAAGTGAGGGAAGCACAAGATGAGGTTGGAAAGACAGAGACCAGATTATGATAAGGAATTACTAAATTTAATAAGCCACAAAAGGGTATTAAGTAGAGAAGTGATATATTTTAATTTACATTTATGCCTTGCCATTGTTACCAAAAACTGTTTTGACAGAGGCAAAAGGGGAAGCTGGGAGACCAGTGAGGAGAAATCTATAGCAATCTGGGCGAGAGATGAAGATACTATGGACTAAGGTGGTGGCAATGAAGATGAAGAAGAATGAACCAATTCAAGATAATATTTGGAAAGAACATCAACAGCACATGTTGAAAGGGAGGAACCAGGGTTTCTGACTTGAGAAACAGAAATAAAGAAGCCTGTTGTAACCATTTTATCCCGGATTGTCTGGTGCGCGAGTGGTGAAGCAGTCCTCTCAGAGATGAGGGAACATGACGCTGCTCCCACATGCGTCGTAGTCTCTGTCAGTACAGTGTCTAAACCGCAAGGCTTGATTGACCCAGTTTCACTGTTTCCACCTGAGCTGATAAGGGCCTGCCTCCCTCAGGATCCTTGTGGAACCATGTGGCTGACAGGGTCTTGGTGCTCCGGCCAGGTGTCAGGGCTCTGCCTCTGAGGCGGGAGAGCCGAGTTCAGGACACTGGTCCACAAGAGACCTCCCAGCTCCACGTAATTTCAAATGGCAAAAGCTTTCCCAGAGATCTCCATCTCAACGCTAAGACCCAGCTCCAGTCTACAACCAGCAAGCTAGAGTGCTGGACACCCTATGCCAAACAACTAGCAAGCCAGGAACACAACCCCATGCATTAGCAGAGAGGCTGCCTAAAATCATAATAAGATCACAGACACCCCAAAACACACCACCAGACACGGTCTTGCCCACCAGAAAGACAAGATCCAGCCTCATCCACCAGAACACAGGCACTAGTCCCCTCCACCAGGAAGCCTACACAACCCACTGAACCAACCTTAGCCACTGGGGGCAGACACCAAAAACAATGGGAACTACGAACCTGCAGGCTGCGAAAAGGAGACCCCAAACACAGTAAATTAAGCAAAATGAGAAGACAGAGAAACACACAGCAGATGAAGGAGCAAGGTAAAAACCCACCAGACCAAACAAATGAAAAGGAAATAGGCAGTCTACCTGAAAAAGAATTCAGAGTAATGATAGTAAAGATGAACCAAAATCTTGGAAACAGAATGGAGAAAATACAAGAAACATTTAACAAGGACCTAGAAGAACCAAAGAGCAAACAATGACGAACAACACAATAAATGAAATTTAAAATTCTCTAGAAGGAATCGATAGCACAATAACTGAGGCAGAAGAACGGATAAGTGACCTGGAAGACAAAACAGTGGAAATAACTACTGCAGAGCAGAATAAAGAAAAAAGAATGAGAAGAATTGAGGACAGTCTCAGAGACCTCTGGGACAATATTAAACTCACCAACATCTGAATTATAGGGGTCTCAGTAAAAGAACAGAAAAAGAAAAGGACTGAGAAAATATTTGAAGAGATTATAGTTGAAAACTTCCCTAAAATGGGAAAGGAAATAGTTAATCAAGTCCAGGAAGCGCACAGAGTCCCATACAGGATAAATCCAAGGAGAAACACGCTAAGACACATATTAACCAAACTATCAAAAATTAAATACAAAGAAAACATATTAAAAGCAGCAGGGAAAAAGAACAAATAACATACAAGGGAATCCCCATAAGGTTAACAGCTGATCTTTCAGCAGAAACTCTGCAAGCCAGAAGGGAGTGGCAACACATATTGAAAGTGATGAAAGGGAAAAACCTACAACAAAGACTACTCTACCCAGCAAGGATCTCATTCAGATTCAACGGAGAAATTAAAATCTTTACAGACAAGCAAAAGCTAAGAGAATTCAGTACCACCAAACCAGCTTTACAACAAATGCTAAAGGAACTTCTCTAGGCAGGAAACACAAAGAAGGAAAAGACCTATAATAACAAACCCAAAACAATTAAGAAAATGCTAATAGGAACATACATATCGATGACTACCTAAATGTAAATGGATTAAATGCTCCCACCAAAAGACACAGACTGGCTGAATGGATACAAAAACAAGACCCATATATATGCTGTCAACAAAAGACCCACTTCAGACCTAGGGACACATACAGACTGAAAGTGAGGGGATGGAAAAAGATATTCCAGGCAAATGGAAATCAAAAGAAAGCTGGAGTAGCAATTCTCATATCAGACAAAATAGACTTTAAAATAAAGACTATTACAAGAGACAAAGAAGGACACTACATAATGATCAAGGGATCAATCCAAGAAGAAGATATAACAATTGTAAATATCTATGCACCCAACAAAGAAGCACCTCAATACATAAGGCAATGAGAAAAACAATTCAAAAAGAGTCATGTACCACAATGTTCATTGAAGCTCTATTTACAACAGCCAGGACATGGAAGCAACCTAAGTGTCCATCGACAGATGAATGGATAAAGAAGATGTGGTACATATATACAATGGAATATTACTCAGCCATAAAAAGAAACGAAATTGAGTTACTTGTAGTGAGGTGGAAGGACCTAGAGTCTGTCATACAAAGTGAAGTAAGTAAGAAAGATAAAAACAAATACCATATGTTAACACATATATACGGAATCTAAGTTTAAAAAATGGTCATGAAGAACCTAGGGGCAGGATGGGAATAAAGACGCAGACCTACAAGAGAATGGACTTGTGGACATGGGGAGTGGGAAGGGTAAGCTGGGACAAAGTAGGAGAGTGGCATGGAAATATAAACACTACCAAATGTAAAATAGATAGCTAGTGGGAAGCAGTCGCATAGCACAGGGAGATCAGCTCGGTGCTTTGTGACCACCTAGAGGGGTGGGATAGGGAGGGTGGGAGGGAGAGAGACACAAGAGGGAATAGATACGGGGATAAATGTATATGTATAGCTGATTCACTTTGTTATAAAGCAGAAACTACCACACCATTGTAAAGCAATTATACTCCAATAAAGGTGTTAAAAGAAATTTAAAAATAAAATAAAAGGATCATACACATCAAGTGGGGTTATCCCAGGAATGCAAGGATTCTTTAATATATGCATATCAATGTGATAAACCATATTAACAAATTGAAGGAGAAAAACCATATGATCATCTCAATAGATGCAGAAAAAGCTTTCAACAAAATTCAACACCCATCTATGATAAAAACCCTCCAGAAAGTAGGCACAGAGGGAACTTTCCTCAACATAATAAAGGCCATATATGACAAACCCACAGCCAACATCGTCCTCAATGGTGAAAAGCTTAAACCATTTCCTCTAAGATCAGGAACAAGACAAGAGTGTCCACTCTCACCACTATTATTCAACACAGTTTTGGAAGTTTTAGCCACAGCAATCAGAGAAGAAAAAGAAATAAAAGGAATCCAAATCAGAAAAAAAGAAGTAAAGCTGTAACTCTTTGCAGATGACGTGATACTA